GGACAACCGACGTAAGTGGGGTGACGTGGGACACACCAGAGGGGACAGGACGGGGAGGGGAAGGAGGAGGGGTGGCGACGATCGGGGAAGGGGTGACCACAAATAGAGGGGGGGGTAACCGGGGGACCTCGGTGGGGGAAGCGGCGGTAGAAGGAGACGGACTCGTCAAAGGTGACGTCACGGGAGTGAAAGAACCGGTGTGACAGCGGGTGGTAGAAGTGCCAGTCAGACGCGTCAAGGGGGAAGCCGAGGAAGACACAGGGAAGGGTGCGGGCATTGAGCTTGTCCGTGCCAGAGGCACGAACGTGAGCAAGGAAGCCCCAGATGTGGAACGCAGATGGGTCACCAGGTGACCCAGACCAGAGGAGGGTCGGCGAAACCTGAGGCTGCCGGGGGTGCGGCCACAGGTTAAGCTGGTGAGCGACGTAGCGAACGGCGAACGGCCACTGAAAATGGGGTGCCCCAGCATGGATCATGGAGGTGCGAGCTACCTCCATGACCAAGCCGATGCGTCGCTCAGCGACCCCATTGTACAGCGGGGAGTCTGGCAAGGTGAACGTCTGGGTGATGCCCTCCGCACGACAGAAACGACCAAGGACACCAGAGGCATACTCGCCACCACGGTCGGAGTGGAGACGCAAGACAGGGAGACCGCTGTGGACACGCGCAGAGACAAGCCACGGGATAAGAACGGCAGGCACGTTGGCTTTCCAATCCAGGGAGAACACTGTGGTGTATCGCGAGTAGTCGTCGACAAGCACGAGGAAGTAGCGCTCTCGACGCGGCCCATGGACGGGGGCGGGGCCCCAGACGTCCATGTGCAGAGTCTGTAGCGGTGTTGCAGTAGGGGGAAACGAGGAAGAGTGAGGGGCACGGCGGAGCCGGCCCTCGACACAGGGCGTGCAAGGTGGGGCTGGGGAGGAGGGAAAGTCAGGGAACGACCCAGGGAGGCCTAGGATGAGACCGTGCTGTAACATGTGACGCAGACGCGGGAGCGCAGGGTGACCTAGGCGGTGGTGCCAGAGAAGAGTCGGGTGAGTGAGAGACCGACAGGAGCAGGCAGCAGCAACCGAGGGAGACGCAGTCACCTGAGGGGGGGTCCCACCCGGGGGGGTCACAGTGTCCAGTGTGAAAAGACCGGACACCGGGTCCCGTGGGAACGTGGACAGGGGGGCATCAGTGGTGGCCTCGGTACAGACTGCGTACCGCTCGTGTCTAGGGAACGTAGTGGTGACGCCAAGCTCCTGAAGGCACCCGACACCAACTAGGTTCCTGGAGAACGAGGGGATGTGCAGTCCTGTGAGCGAGCCCAAAGGAACCGCCGGGCAGGGGAGGGTGGTGGAACTGCGGGCAACTACTGGGCCGGAGGAGGGGTCTGCAAGAGAGACTGCAGCAGGGACAGGAAGCGGTGTCAACGTGGTGGAGTCGCGGAAGAAGCACCGGGAAGCGCCAGATTCGAGGGTGAAGGAGAGCGCGGCAGTGGCGGCCGGAGGCAAAGCAACGACAGAAGCACCAAGGCTAAACAAAGCAGGGGATCCTACGCCTGACGCAGGGGAGTCAGAAGCATACCTCCACTAGGCAACAAGGGGTAATAGGACGGAAGCACACTAGAGTCATCAGCATACATCTCATGCAGAGCAGTAACAATCTCATCCATATCGAGATAAAAAATCTGAACCCTACGACGAAGCAAACTGTGCCAGTCAGGGAGCTCGGGCGATGGGCCGAAACGCTGACGAAACAGGTCGTCCAGGCGACGGAAACAGCGAACGGAGGTATGACCGATCTTACCGCAAACGAAGCCACGGTGAGGACCGGTTTGGAGCAGGTACTGACAGCGCGCGTCACCCGAACCACCACCCGGCAGCCCACCACGCGCACCACCACCACATCCAGCGCTATCACCAGCACCAGGCCACCAGGGCGGGAGACCACTCGCGCGTCTCTGCTACGGCTGCGACTGCTGCGGCTGCTGCGGCTGACGCGATTCCGGCTGCAACACCGGCGGCTGTTGATACGGCTGCTCGGCTGCACCTGGCAGGGTCCCCTCGTCCGCACCACTACCAGGAGACCTAGCTCCAGCACCACCTACACCTGCACCCCCACCCCCGCCGCCACACCCAGCCTTGGGGCAGCAACCCTTCCCCGGACGGACCTGTGCGGCAGCGGCAGTCTCAGCCAAAGCAGCAGAACCGTCGGAGGAGGTGCACTAAGAGGAAACGCAACCCTGAAAGATACGGACCGGCACAGTACCGCTGGTCTGAGCGATAGAGCGGTGGCGGGCCTCTATAGCGGACAGGGTGTTAACAAAGTCCGTGAGGGTGAGGTCTGCGGGGTGGACGCTAAGGACGTGGTGACGAGCAGTGGCAAGACGGTCAGGGAGGTGGGTGGCTAGCAGGTAGAGAGTAGAGGTGAGGGGCGGCTGGTGGGCTAGAAGCTGTGTGGGAGTGCAGACAGCACGCCAGGTCTCGTCTATAGTGCGCAGGTGAGCGGCCACAGCGGACTCACGCTCAGCGGACGAGGGATCAGTAGACAGTGCAGCGGGGGGGTCAGGGCAGAGGAGAGTACCGTCAAGATGGACAGACAGAGAGTGGCCATCCTGCCGCTGACCAGTGAGGTGGCGACGAAGGTCAGCAAGCCACGCATCAAACTCAATCGGCTGGCCCTCAGCGTCAAAGCGAAGCACCTCCGCCATCAGTGACAATAGAGGGTAGTGGAGAGCAGTACAGTGCGGTGCAATGCGGCACAGTGCGATGCAGTGCGGTACAGTGCGGTGTAGTGCGGTATAGTGCGGTGCAGTGCAAGTGCGGTGCAGTGCGGTGCAAGTGCCATGCAGTGCGGTACAGTACGGTGCAGTGCGGTGCAAGGCGGTTTAGTACTGTACCGGGGGGGTTCGCAGGGCGGTGCTGATCGGGAAGAACGGGTCGAACCCGAGGCGGCGGCGGGCTGGCGACGACGCGAATGCAGGAGCCGGCCGGCGGATGGCAGATGCGAGGGGCCAGCAAACGGCGGCAACGGGGGCCGGCGAGGAGCTGGCGCGACGGCGAGTAGGGCCGGCCATGACGGCGAGGAGACACGGCCGCGACGGCGGCCAGGGACAGCCGCGACGGCGGCTAGGGGCAGCCGCGATGGCAGCAGTGACCGTGAGGCGGCTGGAGACGGCAGCGACATCAGCTAGGGGCGGCCGCGGCGGCGAGGGGGCGGCCGTGAGACGGCTAGGGGCGGCCGTGGGATGGCAGGAAATGGGCGCGACGGCCGGAGGGGGGGGGGGGGGGGGAGGGGGGCTAGGGACGAGCGCGACGGCCAGGGGGCCGGCTAGTGACGGGCGCGACGGCCAAGGGGCCGGCTAGGGGCGGACGCGATGGCCAGGGGGCCGGCTAGGGGCGGACGCGACGGCCAGGGGGCCGGCTAGGGGCGGACGCGACTGCCAGGGGGCCGGCTAGGGGCGGACGCGACGGCCAGGGGGCCGGCTAGGGACGAGCGCGACGGCCAGGGGGCTGGCTAGGGACGAGCGCGACGGCCGGGGGGTCGGCTAGGGACGAGCGCGACGGCCAGGGGGGCCGGCTAGAGGCGGACGCTACGGCTAAGGGGCCGGCTAGGGGCGGACGCGACGGCCAGGGGGCCGGCTAGGGGCGGACGCGACGGCCTGGGGGCCGGCTAGGGGCGGACGCGACGGCCTGGTGGCCGGCTAGGGACGAGCGCGAAGGCCAGGGGGCCGGCTAGGGACGAGCGCGACGGCCAGGGGGCCGGCTAGGGACGGGCGCGACGGCCAGGGGGCCGGCTAGGGACGGGTGCGACGGCCAGGGGGCCGGCTAGGGGCGGACGCGACGGCCAGGGAGCCGGCTAGGGGCGGAGGCGACGGCCAAGGGGCCGGCTAGGGGCGGACGCGACGGCCAGGGGGCCGGCTAGGGACGAGCGCGACGGCCAGGGGGCCGGTTAGGGACGAGCGCGACGGCCAGGGGGGGCGGCTAGAGGCGGACGCTACGGCTAAGGGGCCGGCTAGGGGCGGACGTGACGACTAGGGGGCCGGCTAGGGACGGGCGCAACGGCCAGGAGGCCGGCTAGGGGCGGACGCGACGGCCTGGGGGCCGGCTAGGGGCGGACGCGACGGCCAGGGGGCCGGCTAGGGACGAGCACGACGGCCAGGAGGGCCGGCTAGGAGCGGGGCACAACGGTGGCTAGGGCCTAGGGGGCGGAAGCGTGGGCGGGCTAGGGGGGAACCTAACTTACTATGATATTATATAAGAAAGAATAATTGAACTAGAATGTGTGAGTACAAGGGTATATAGACTAGGGTGTCGTACCCTCTAAGGCACAATCCAGTATAGTCTACAGTAACGACCGAAGTGTCAGAAACCCTGTCACTAACCACTGGGTTAAAAGGGCTTGTTGAATAGCGGGTAAGTGCGCCCATAGCCCCCCAGGCTCTGCACCTGTGGCCCTTCCCCGAGGATCTCAAGGGCAACCCCAGCGGGTCACTCAACACGAAGTTGCATTTGACACTTACTGTATTCCCCCGTATACAGCACCCCGCAAAATTGAACGCCCATGGGTGGCTTGAGCGGACATGGGTGCTTCATTAAAGTGGATATACATAGCAGCCGTCTTTTTTGCCTGCAAATATTTGAACACCCCCCGAAACTTTCAACATCACTTTTGAGTTCGAGTAGCATAGACGAGCAATACCCTCTTTTTCGACCACTGCTGATGTGCCATCACCTGAGCGTGAGAGCTAGTGGGAAACTTATGGAGGAACCTACCGTATACAGCGCGGTTCAAGAGGTGTGACACAGAAAAATTCGAGACCCATTTTGACTGCCCGAACAAGTGGGTCCCTTGAATCCTCGTAACTCAATGTTTGGTACTTGACTTTCGGGTCGCACTCACCTTCCCGCCAAGAAAATCGTGCCATGCCTCCTACGGATTGGCTGTTTGGTGTTTCACCACTTCCGTACGCGATGTCGAGGGGAAAAGCAAAATATAGACAGTGCACTTTATTTAGGAAAAACAATATCACATACGCATGTTCCACAACACCCAGGCGTTATACAAAATTAGCCACTAATTACACCCCCCTCAAAATTTAGAGGCATTTTGGTTACCACACTAGGGTGCTTTATACGGGGGAATACGGTACAAGAGAAAGCCGTATAGCTGCGCCCCACAGAGCAGGGCCCAGAAGAGCTGCAAAGGAAAGGAACCAGCTGAAGATGTGCCTGGAGGAAACCATGATAGTAGAGCTGAGGAGGATGAGGAGAAGGATGCTTAAGTAGATGTATATTGTATGCTTGTTTCTAAAAATTGATAGTGTTCATGTTCAGTGCCATTTTTAGAAACAAGCTGGACTAAGCCAATAAGAAACACAACCTTCTAGGCGAACTCAAGCCAACAAGAAACAAAAGCTATTGGGCTCACTCAAGAAGCAAGCTGCTTGGCTAACTCAAGCCAACAAGAAACACAAGCTAGCACAAGGAACAGGAAACACAAGCTAGGTAACAAGATTTGGGATACAAAAATGCATGTCCCATAGTGGTCACCCATCCTTCACACGAGCGCAAGCAGTCCAATCAGAGAGAGAACCAGGGCCATGTAGTTTCCACTGAGTGCAAACGAGCCTGCAGCTGCACCATCCCACAATACATGTTCAGAAGATGTTAGAGATGAAGCTGAAACTCCACTCGTGTTGTTGACATAACAAGGAACATGTCAACACTTGGACAACAAGGCATCATGCACGCTGTCATCAATTCGTGGCTGCGTGTTGCAGGCTTGCTGGAAAAAATCCACTAGGTTTAGGTGGTACTACATAGCAGGTAAGCGTACCTTTGCCATACGGTGAGACAGGATCATAGCTGGTGAGGGAGCCCATGTTGGCAGGGAAAACCACAGCATCTGTCACAATGAAGGTCATGTCAGAGGATGACGTCGTCGTGCCAAGAACCTGAGTGCTCGTCACCAGCTGAAAAGCACCATTCACCCTCGCCACTGCTTTTGGCCCTCCTGCTTCACTCTCCGTCACAGATCCTCCACTCCCGCTGCCACTCCCTGAGGAGACAGTGAGGCCTAGGTCGGTCCCAGTGAAGGCATGATCCAGGGAAGTGGTTGCTCCAGTGACGCCGCCGTAAAGGAAAATCGGCTGGTTGACCAGCGTGCTTAGGCTGAACTTTCCGCTCTTGTACTGCTCGGAAGAGAAACGGAGTTGTCACGGGGTAGGCACAAATAACGGGACGAATGGGCGAGCGTTAGCGACGATGAAGCCATAGACGGAAGAATCGGCTGACAACAGAAAGGAGAAATTAGGAAGACACGAGTACTTGAGGGCGGACGGAAGACTCACTTTGCCGGTTGTCATTTCCGAGGGAGTGATGAAATCGCGGACCGCCAGGAACTTGGCGAGTCGCGACATGGCATTCTTGCCGTTGTTGGACATGGAGTTCAGCGACGACACGGACCCCTTCTGATTCACAATCGTGTCGAGCGCCTCGAGAACCGGGTCCGACGCAGTTGTAGCAGTCGGGTTCTTGGCCTTGTATCCCGCGAGTGCACTTGTCCAGCCGTTGTCTTCGGGTAGCACGAGGGACCCTCCAGTAATGTCCTTCACCTTGTCGTACCCTGCGGCGAACTCCACCATTCCAGCGGATATGCCCGCGATGTAGGGGTCCATGAGGGTCTTGTTGCGGATCTGCTCAAGCACGTAGGAGAGGTCGACTGCGTGCGCGACGCGCGGGAGAGTCGCCGCCCAGAGCGACGCGGAGAGAAGCACGGAGAAGGTGAGGACGAACGCCGACGATGGGGACTGAAGGCGGGCCATGGGTACTGCTAGTAGTACGGCCGACTCGGGGCAGAGGTGGGAAGGGGCTCGACGATGGTGGTGTGGGAGCTTGCTGATGGTGAGAATCGGGAGGTTGCAACACCAATACTACAACTGCAGCTCTCTCAGATGGATGCCCCTTAATAGTGAACTGCGATGAGGCCGAGAGGGAGGCTTGGGGAAAATGGGTCGGGTATCCGTGCAGCAGAAGACGGGTGGGGTATGTCTGCGCAATTGGATGGCGTTCGCGGCTTCGCCAGCTCAACCAAGGGCGCCTCGTTGGAGTTCGGTGGTGCGCCACCGACGAGGCTGTCGAAGTACGTGGGGCAAGGCGAGGAGGCTCGAGGCGCCCTGAGAGCGTCCTGTCCCGTGCCGCACGTTTCTCGCCAACATCGTGATGCGCATAAACGTGTCGGCCTACCACTGGCAGTACGCATCGCGTCTTCCCACGGTGGGACGGAAAAGGACTGGGCAGTTGCCCGTAAAAAGAGGCAATTGGGCAGGGGCACCTGGGAGAGGTTCTGGTTCTGAACTAGGTGTCGGCTGGACACCCGGTGTGATGGTGGAGTGTGGGTTCGAGCAGTTGTGACACTACCACGCGGCCCCCTCAGACGGATGTCCCTAAATAGTGTCCTGTGAAGTGGGTTGCGAAGGCCTGGGGAAAGCAAGACGACGGTCGAAATTGGCAGGCGCAGCTGAGGGGTCATCTATGTGTAAACGCGTCCCTGACTCTGTTTGTTTGTAGCGTTCAGTTCGTCTGTAGCGTTCGGCTACGCCTGCGCTTGCTTGGACTACAAAACACAATAAGCTGGCCTACGCGGCTTCGCGAACTCAACGAAGGGCGCGTCGTTGGAGTTCTGCGGTGCGCCTTGACGTCGTGAAACCGCTATAGAAGGACATGTGTCGTCGTAGTCCAGGCGTGAGCAAGGGTCCTAGCTCTGCCAGGGGAGTCAGCAAAAAAGGTCCGTCTACCTGTAATACACTCTGTTTTTTTAGCACTTGCCAGTAAACGTCTCTCAACAAGATGCAGAAACATGAACCCATTGGGAACCGAATTCCGTTCGAGATGGCATCAAGCCTAAGCACCCAGCTCTTTTGCGATTTTAGGGCTGGTGCCACACCGAGTCGCATGTGAGGGCCCTACGGGTTTGTTTTTGACCTAAAAAACTGTTCTAATAAATAGGGCCACGATGCGACACGCCCCAGAAACCTGAGTTGTCTTGAGAACAAAAACTATTTTCGAGTTGTACGACGAAGACAATGCATCACAGGTTCGAAGACAAGGTCTCGGAGCAGGAAGCTGCCGGACCTTCCTTGCTCACGCCTCTGGCGGGGCGAGGACCCTTTTTTATCATTTCCCAAGAGTTTTTATGCTAAAACGGAAGCTTATACGGGAAGTGCCTGGAGCAGAGTTTTGGAGCTACACTAACGCTGCAGTCCTCTAAGGAGAAGTTTAGCAAAGCTTGCACACAAAAAAAATTCACTAGAATCAAGATAGGATAAATGGTATATTTTATCAGAGTAATTTACTCTGTTTCTCTGAAAATCAGAGTCGTTTTTGTAATAATTTGTTAGGTGTTGCAAGAGACTAAGTATAGAATCTGCAGACAAGAACACTTGGAAAACCTCAAGTGTCAGTCCAGGATCTTTACTAGAATGGTAGACTAGTAAGACAGCGGAAGTCTTGTAAAAGTATGATAATTGTTGGAAATACCTCGAGGACTTAAGCGTTTCTGAAGTGTAACACTACACTCGAGGAAAGCCGTATCGAGTACGCGAGTCAACGGAGGTTACGCGAGGAGGTTGGACGAAAGAACACGAAAGGATGAAGGGACTCGAAGGGTCGCAACCGGAGGTTGCGACTGACCGTTGCAACTGTAAGGGTGGTAACTGTTATGAAGTGATCTAGCAAGAAAGGAGAAGGCCGCCATGAAATGGCGGCCGAGGTTTCGCTAGGAAGATTAACGAGAGAGAATAGGTACGATTAGGAAAAGAGAGGGGTACAAGGAGGGGATTGTACCCTCTACAGTAAGGTTCAGTAACAACTACCAAGCCTGTCAATGATATATAACTTATATAATTTGAACACACCCCCTAGGCTTGGTAGTCGAAGTACCCACACACATCCACACCCCCTAACCTAGCACCCCCATTCCCTGCAGCAGCAGTGGCGGTTGACAGCGCGGTTGACCTCTTCACTAGCGGGGCGGCGACGTCAACGACGAGGGTGCGGTGGCGACGACAGCAGCGGCGGCAATGACGATAGCAGCGGTGGCGGCGGCGTGCGGCGGCAAGGAAAGCCAGCGGCAACAGCGGCGGCGGCGGGGGCTTCGACAACAGCAGCGGCGGCGGCAGCGCTCGCCCTACTCGGCGACGTGGCCAAACTCCGCGACGGTGGACGGCTGGCGGGAGTCCGCCGACGGCTGAGGCGAGGAACAGGACTCAAGGGAAGAGGGGCGGGGCGTGTTCCAGCCTCACGCTGGAGGCTGGTGTGCGGGCGGCAGGTGTGGCGGCGCCACGAACGTCAGGGCGCTGGCTGCAGCACGGGGACACGGCGGGAAGGTGGAACGGCGGAGCCGCCACGTCAGGGCGGCAAGCCCAGCACGGCTGTTCGACGTGGCAGCCATGCGACGAGGCCGCTACGGCACCTCAACATGGCCGCCATGGCTGAGTATCGAGGTCGCCATGGCAGCGCGGCGAGGGACGGCGGCGGCACGAAAAGGACGGTAGAAAAGCGCGGTGGAAGCGTAAGGAGCAGGCCCGCTAGAAGCGAACCGCTCTGAAAACATGTTATGAAGTGATCTAGCAAGAAAGGAGAAGGCCGCCATGAAATGGCGGCCGAGGTTTCTCTAGGAAGATTAACGAGGGAGAATAGGTACGATTAGGAAGAGAGAGGGGTACAAGGAGGGGATGGTACCCTCTACAGTAAGGTTCAGTAACAACTACCAAGCCTATCAATGATATATAACTTATATAATTTGAACAGTAACCGAACTGACAATCAAGTCGCTGTGCGACTCGATAACCGTTACCTCAACTGTATTCTAGAACTGCTTTATTTCCTATTTTCTGTATATTGCTGTATGCTTGTTTCTTTTAATCAATCACTTGCTCTCACATACTAGTGCAAGGGTTTTACTACTCAACACTTCCGCTGCACTACTCAAAGCATCTTGTACAAGTGGGACTTGGTCTCTGGAAAGATCCTAAGGGCTTTCCTTAGCCGAACATGGTATGAGAGCTGGTCAGAGACCAAACTCCCATCGAATAAATTCTACCTAAAGTCAGCACATCAAGAGCTTCATCAATTACAAGTCATGGACAACAAGGGCAAGAAGTCTTCTACAGGCTCATCCAGCGCCCGAGACACTCAACCCGACACCTCTGGACTACACACTTCAGGACTACAAACTAAGACCGGCGCTGCTCAAGAAACAACAGGAAGGGTACCAGAAATGGTGACCCCTTCACCCTCTTCAGGCGTGGACCCGAACCTTATGGAAAGGTTCTTCAGCTTTATGTCGCACTTCAACCAGCAGCAGCAGATGAGGACACCTGCACAATCAACACAGAGCAACAGAGGAAATATGGGGTTAGCACCGATGAGCCTCGACAACTCATCATTCGGGCGGCACAACCAAGCGCCTACCTTTGCGCCTTATCACTCTTCACCAGGGACGTTCGAGTTCATGCCGCCCCGTGCTCAACCAACAGCAGCTGCATCACAACAAACACCAAACAAGATATTAAGTCTCCAGGCGCAGTTCTCATATGTGATTAAAATGCAGACATCTTCGCCATTCAACGGGCACGACTTCTTTACCTGGAGTTTTGAGTTCGAGCTACTGATGGAGGCCGCGCACCTCTTGGGATACTTCAACGGGTTCCTACCATTTCCAAGCAATGGCACTGCAAAGGAGCAGAAGATCTTCACTTATCAGTCCCTGCTGACGTACACAGCTCTCCTACAAAATCTGTCACCACAAGAGCAACAGAGCATCAGAACGTATCGGAGCTACGGAAACTCCGCGGAGCTCGCTTGGCATCATCTGAAATATCCCTATCAAGCAAACGACAGCGTGACACAAAGCAGAGTCATGCAGCAATTGACAACAATACAAATGAAGACCGGGGAAAAGGCGATACAGTATATGAGTCGCTGCCAGACACTCCGCGACCGCCTGCTTTGGTGCGGAGGCACAATTACTGAAGAAAGCTTCGTGACACTTGTCCTCGCCGGGCTTGGGCCAGAATAGAGAACCACCTGCTCGCTTCTTCGCGCCCACGGACGAATTTCCGAGATGCACCTCTGCGCCGAGCTTCATGCTGAACAACAAGAAATGGACCTGTTTGAAGAAAGACAACCAAGAAACAAGCAGCAACCGTTAGTCTTCTATACTCAACGAAGAAACGACAACAACTACAACCGACGTGACAAGCACAACCGACACGACACCAGAGGACTCACCATCGTGCCACTGTTCTGCCACAACTGTCAGACATCTGGACACTCCAAGGTCAACTGCACACGCCCTCGAGTCTATCGCCCAGCAGACCCGTAAGTCACCTCCACTCAAGAGAATCCGCCAAGCCGTTCCTCCACATCTGCACAAGGCGTACGGAATATCATTAATTGCATGGTACGCATCGACAACTGCACACCCAGGTCACCACCCACTTATGCTCTAGACGAAGAAGAACTGCCGCCGCCACGCTCACAAGGTCTTCAGGTCAACTCGACGTACGCTGCAGTCGCCAACGCCGAACCCACCCGGCGAAACACCTGGTTCTTGGACAGCTGCTGCGGCCAACACATGTGTTCTTCCGGGCGCTTCGTGCAACGAGAGCGACGCCTCAATCGCGATGTCATCATCACCATCGCCAACAATGAGAACCTGAAAACAAATACACAAGCCGTCGTTCAGCTTCAGTCAATGGAGACAAACGTCATAATACAACTCAACAAGGTTCTCCTCGTCGACAATATGGGATACAACTTGCTAAGTGTCAGCTAGTTAATGGCGAAGGGAATTCACCTAGAATGCGACTCGGACGCCAACGAGTTTCGTCTTTACCACGGGAAGGGCGGCCTCTTCATCGATCGCGCTCGTTTGAAGTCGGGCGTCTTCGTGCTGGATTTCGTCCCCCACCGCGGTACTGCCGTCAGCGATGGCATCGTGTCGTTCGCCGCCTGGACGCACCCGCCAGATCTTGACCCCGACTTTACCTCAGACGGATTCTGGTTCTCCAACACCATACCAGCAGCAGAAAGAACATGAGCATTAGCAGTCATCCGACTAGAACAACAAGTACCAGCAAGTATCCCTCCCCCGACATCACCTGCAGTAGCAGCAGCAGGACCCAGTCGTGTGCCATCACCAGCAATCCGAGGACCGCCAACCGAAGCAGATGAACTCATGCCCATCACCCTGCAAACCGAGGAGTTTGAAGCATCCCGCTACAGTCGTCGCGTTCTTCTCCAACACCAATCTGTACCAGCGCTCACTCGGCCATCGTGCTCTCGACGACATCTGGCATCAACGCCTCGGACACCCTGCAAACAGCACAGTACTACAAACCATACAAGCCAGAGTATTAGAAAAGCACACTCTCCTCACAACGAGCAGCCAGGAGCTTCGACGACCCCGCACACGATGCTTCACGGGCCTTGAAGCTGATCTTCCCCACCAACCTTTCCCGTCGCACCACAATCCAAGCGCACCTGCATACGCACCGATGGAAAAAGTTTACAGCGACATCTTAAATATGCCTCGAGACGACAGTGAAGCAGAGTACAACTATGTCATCACGTTCATCGACGCAGCAAAATGATACGTCTGGCACTACAACCTCAAGACACGTGATCAAGCTTTCGAAGCCTTCACGATGTGGCTCCCCATTGCTGAACGAGAATCGGGCTCGCAACTGAAGAGT